TTTTTATTTTTTTTGTTAAATATATAGTACTCGAAGGAATAGAGTCAAAAGAGTTAGAGAAGGGCTGGAAAATTCTCTCAAGGGACGGATTGAGCTGATTGAAAGCTATGCAAGAGTATGTTTTTATTGTAGTTAGCACAACTAAGCATTAGCTAGCCCAAGTAAAGAAAAATGTAAACAATGTTTACTCAACATCTCTTGCCAAATACGCATCTAACTAATATGGTGACGCCCTCCATTTCAGATATCGTCAATGATCGAAATTGAGGTAGAAATGGACTCCGATGTTCTTGCTGCCGAAGCAGCAAGCAATGCGGTATGCTTGAGTTGCTTCTACATTATTTTCCACCTTTGACAATATGCCTCATAATTTCTAACTATATGATTTTTACTTGCAGGAGAGTATTGCCGAACAAATACAACAGATAATGGAGCTAGAGAATCTTGAAGAGGCATGTGCTTCTTACTTTGGGTGCTTTTTTTTGTTTTTTTTAATAACATGCATGTTACGACTTATTTTCGCTTTTTAATAACTCACGAAAGAATCAATCGACGAAAATAATTACACTCGCATGTAGGGGAAAAAATTGGTGTTACTGCTCTTTGTTGAGCTTGAAGATTTAGTAACATTATCAACCAAAGCATGATTTATACTAGAAAGGTTATATATATATATAAGGGGATTTTTTGATAGTCTGGTGTACCAGTAGGGGGGATTTTTTGATAGTCTGGTGTACCAGTAGGTTATATTTTTGATAGTCTGGTGTACTAGTAGGGGGGATTTTTTGATAGTCTGGTGTACCAGTAGGTTATATTTAGAAAAGGTTATATATATATATATATATAAAAGGAAATTTTTTGATACGTCTGGTGTACCAGTAGGTTATATTTTTCTAACCGTTATATTTGTGTACTTTTTGACTTTTACGTGATTTTATGCAAATCTAACGAATAGAAAACTTAGTCTACCAGTATGTTAACGTACCGGAGAAGGTCATATAT